TAACACTGTGCTCCACGCACTCTCAAATGGCGTGTGCTTGCAGCCCTTGGCACGCATGGCATCGTTTACGCGCGCACTGATAATTGCCGCAGTGGTGGTGATAGCGTAGTTGCCGATCATCAGGCGCGCTGCCTCGAGTCGCAGCGGCCTTGCCGGGGCCACGGAGGGGAGACGGAACAGCCAAGGTCAGGAAATATATCTTCTGCATATTTAATTAGAAACACGCGCGCTGTCGAGTTACACTCTGGCATTGTATATATGCTGTTGCATCGATCTACCAATGCAGTCATGTGGGCGTTAGACTCTCTGATCCCTATTGCTGTCGCATCAATCTAGCGATGCTAACACGTGGGCGGAAGACTCTTGATTCCTATCACAGCAGCTCATGCAATGTATATCACATTCCTTGTCGCACGAAAAGGTGTCGAGTCCGAGTCCCGAACACGGCTGTCGCATTTCGGTGGATGCAGAGCCCAAATATGTTCGCGTGCATCGCAATTCATGTTCAGGCCCATATACGCACAAGTGTCCGAATCTCATCATTACCAGAACATACCTCATAGCGTGTGTTTCGCTTCCGGAGGTTGTCCACCGGGTTTCAATTTCAGTGCCTTGTGTGATATCGGCAGTCTTCCCGAGCAAAGTGAGAATGATGCCAGAACATTCAGCCTGGTAGAAACAAGTGACTTTCGGGAAATTCGACGGTGGTAGAAGCCTGTTGGCCTAGCGACACTACTTTGATTGATATGTGGGGTTTAACGTACCAAAACTCCCATATGATTATGAGAGACGCCGTAGTGGAGGGCTCCGGAAATTTTGACCACCTGGGGTTCCTTCATGTGCACCCAAATCTGAGCACACGGGCCTACAACAATTACGCCTCCATCGGAAATGCAGCCGCCGCAGCCGGGATTCGAACCCGTGACCTGCGTGTTAGCAGCCGAGTACCTTAGCCACTATATACCACCGTAGCGACACCACTTTGACTACGATGAGTGCTAATTTCGTCGAGGCGTTTTCGGAGCCGTGCAGTAAAATGCTTTGTCAGGTCGATTAGTATTGGGTGTGGCCGCGCTGACCTTTGCCTTCTCTGTCTCTTTCTTTGGGTTTGCAGTCTTTGTCTCGAGCTAAGACGTCGCATCCAGGTCGTTTCTCGCGTGGCTTGTTCAGGCGAAGGAGAAGGAAAGCATCGACCTCTGAGGCGTCAACAGCGTGGAGGACTTTCGTAGCACTGGTTTATACGTAACTAAATGTTTGCACATAGTTGGCGAGTGGTTACCGGTAGCCATACTTACGTTTCAGTATTAGACAACGATATCTGCTGATCTCTCTCTCTCTCTCATTCTTTTTCCGCGAAGCAAACCAAACCTATGACTGAAACTTGAACTTGTATAGCGCATTACGGGGAAGAAGAAACGGCCGAGCAGACCGACACAAGAGGACAGAGCGCTAACTTCCAACTGAGCTTTATTGTCAAATTTCATCAAATAAGTAGACCGGCGCAAGCATACAAAACCACCCTAACGCAACGACAAGATAACACACAACATCACACCATCACATATCACACATTCATAGGCGGTTACTCTGATTAAGGAAGGCCACTTCATGTTCAGATAAACCCAAAGAAGGGGCGCTAATACACGTGCTGCCAGCTCTTGCTATACAATGCGCTTCTATAATTTCCCGAGTTAATTGCGACGGGTGCTTTTTTATCACTTCACACTGGTCAAACATGGGGGTACATCCACAATCGCGACAGTGAATTCCAATGTGGCCCTGGATTGCTTTGTGAGCATTATAATGATGCTCTTTTAGCCTTTCATTAAGGCATCGCCCCGTTTGGCCGAAATACCACATACCACATGAGAAAGGAATCGCGTAAACAACCCCCACTACACATGGCACAAACCGAGTTTTGTGCTTAGTTGCGCAACCAGTGGTGTGTGATTTGAGAGGGTTGACAGCTTTGCAAAGCCGCTGTAACTTATCCGGCGCTGAAAACACCACTTTGACGCTGCATTTCTCCCCTATCTTTTTTAGCAGGTGGGAAATGTCATGCACGTAGGGTAAAACTACGGGTCTTTTTCGGTCGTTAGATTCCGGCTGGGCCTCGGAGTTGCATCCTTTCTTTATCTGTTTTAATAGCTTTTCAGCTATAGACGCCAGTAGGATAGCTGGGTACCCAGCACGGCCGAGCAGGTCTGCTCGGCCGTTTCTTCTTCCCCGTAATGCGCTATACAAGTTCAAGTACGACGAACCAACTCGCCCAATCTTCAACACTCGTGGAATTCAATTCTATGACTGAAACACTGTCAACAGGTGGTCTGGTAACCTTGCCTCGCGTGCGCCGACACGTTTGTCTGGTACATGTGCTTTCGAAACACAATATTAATAAAAATTAACTTTTTATTGTACGAGGGCGAACTTTTTATGACAACAAGCGCGCGGCGACTCTTTCCTACTCTGGCTTTTGCACGAGTTTTGCGTGGCGCAGCTCCGAAGTCGTTGTCAGCGCGCGGCGTAAAACTATTAGGAGGTGCTGGAGTACGTTCTGGGCAACATTCGCTTGGTGCGAGCCGGTACATTATGCACGATTCGGAAAGCACAGTACGCAGTATGTGGGTGTGAGCGCAGCAAACTATTCGCTGTGCCAATATATGTATGCGACTTGCGTCATCACCCTGCAGGGTGTGTTACAATGGATACAAAATTAATTAATTAATTAGAAGCCTAAACGCCGCCAGAGCCACCAAAATATGTTATTCATAACGAGCTTGACTCATGGATGGGAATGATTATACGAGCAGCAGAACGTTTAAACTGTGCGAAGAAGGCAACATGCATGTGTCAAACAGAACACGCGCACGCACGAAGTGGAGTTTAAACTTGTCTTTCAAGTAGATGAACGAAGTAGCCCAACAAGGTGCATTAGTTCAGCAGAATGTAACAGAGGAACGTGCAGAAAGCAAAACGTAGCCTCGAGATAGCATTCATATCGCCGGCAAGAGCCCGACAGGGTGGCTGATGGCGGCCCAATTCTGTTGCAATGAGACGGCTCTCTGCTGAAAAGGAGAGCTGTTTTGTTGCGTCCCTAGCAATCGTGGACACGAGGAAGCTCCGCGGTTGTCTATACGCCGCGAGTTCGAAAGGGCAACTCCCGCGAAGTCCTTCACGCTAGAGGTGGCTGTCGCACTTGGCTGGCTGCAGACTGGTACTTTCCCAAATCTGCAGTTCATTCGTAAGATATGTCCGATTCGTTATACGTATGCCTGTCCAGGATGTGGCGCTATCCCCACAACTTTTCACGTCACTGTAGAGTGCACCACCGTCTACTTCTCTCCCCTTTCACCGATGCCTTGGTCCACCCGTACACCCCAGAGCACTGGGGAGGCACCCTTCACGACGGCGCCTCCGATGTCTGTCGGGTGCTTGTTCTGCGGACCCGGGCTGTCGTAGAGGTTGTCGTAGGTGTCCCGAGATAAGTACTCTCCTCATTTTTTTTAAAATTGAATAAAAATGTTTCTATCATCATCATCAGGCTGAACCTTCAAGCACACGGTCCAAGAGCAGCTTTGTGGTGGTATATCATCCTGTCCCTATAGCCCGCGGCGTCGGGATGGCAGACCAATGAGCTGTGCGGCAAAACAGTGACTGTATAGCGCCTCTGGCCTTCATCGGGGTGACTCGAGTGCGATTTCTCGTGTCTGAAGTGGTTGCATAGTTTACGCGTTTTTTTTTTTTTTTTGAGAAAGCCCCGATAGTTTTTATTTGTAACCGCACGTTTTCTTTTTTATTTAGTCAATGTCAGTACTATAGCACAATTATTTGTTTATTATATATAGCTGCTTTAACGGCCTCCTCTAGCTTGCTCTTTTGTTCTGATTTTTTCTGGAATGTACTGTAAATTTAAAATTGAAATGTCGGCAATTAACTCGCTGCTCCACAGAAATGTGACCGCGTTGATGTATTTTGGCCAGCCAGTGTGCAGTTTTTTTAGTGCACATTCATTGCTTTAAGCACGTCACCATCGTGCGTTGGAAGCGTATTTTATAGACGCGGCTAATCCATGCAATACTTGAATGTTCGTTACGTGACAATGCCCTTGCAATTGCCGCTACCATTGTGTACATCTATATATACGTATAGCTATCAGCTGACCTAAACGCAAAATAACGGCTCAAGAATCAACAGGTCGTCTCACAACGCATACCCGTGGATCGACAGGAAATGTCAGTTGACGCGGCGGTTTACCGATTGATAGCTTATTGCCGTCGTTAGGGAGGCAACCCACACACATGCAGTGCTCCGGGGGCAAGGATGATGAAATGGAAATGGCAGATACTGTCCGTTTGTACCTTGGGGATCCTCGCGGCAAGATTTGTGTAATGAAATATCACTGATTATGTAGTAGTAAATGCGCGCTAAGTAAGTTGAAATCCTTTAGTTAACCGCCAACATCACTGAATGTGGCTGGTATATACGAGGAAACGCGGCACACTAGGCGCACGCCAGCGGTTGGCTTCACGCAAACTGGTATACTTTTCATCAGTTGGCCCCCACAATGCTAAGGCATGAAAGTTCACTCAAAGATCATAAATCTTGCGGTAACACATTTTAACTGTTTTTTTTTTGGTATTTCAAAAAATCGTAAACGAATGTGAACTTTGAGATTAACATAATGAACGCAAACACGGCGTTTTCGCGGATGGTTGTCCTTTCCTTCTCCTTTTTCTGAATTTTTTCCACGGCATATATTATACGACTAATATTTATGTCTCCTTTCGACCTCCAATTTGTGTCTACCTGCCAATACTTCCGTTTCCGTGCATTTTCACTGACGTGCGCATTCATTTCACGACTTCGTTTCTTCGCGTTGATACTTTAGGTGGCCCCGGCTCTTCTAAACTAAGGCTTCATTGCAATGGGAACGTCCACGTTGACTCGTAACGTAAAGACATTCACGTTCGGTGTTGACACGTCTTCATTTTTCTTTGCAGATGGCGGTGCCACGACGTAGCATGTTCTGGACTCAGCTCATGGCCCTGATATGGCGAAACTACTTGCTCAAGAAAACGGAGAAGGCGAAGACCTTCTGGGTAAGTCTCTCCTCAATGATGCAGGCTAAGCAAAGGTTTGTCGCACCATACGGGGTTGTTCCACCGTCCATCGTAAACGTTTTTCATAGTCGGTGCCCGGCCCTCTGCCCAGGAGGCGACGGCCATTTTTCTTGTAGGTCTGCATGCGTCGCGTGATTATGAAAACGCTGCGCGAGGGTCACAGTTTACTTCCAATGTGCCACTGCAGCGCTAACTTTATCAGCGATAAGCTGTATGAATTATCTCCGTATCTCTAAACCTCTGCATTCGTGAAGTGGCTACGTTCATCAAGACAGATTTACTAGCACAAAAAGACGAAACACTTAAGAAGGAACACACACAGCGCAGAACTCGCAACTGGTTTATTACGATGAACGCAAGCTCTTTGTGATGGCACACATTGAATGTACAAAAATATAACTTTATGAAAAAATTAAATTAAAAAATTCGTCATAAGTGCTTGTCAAAAAAATTAATAAACCAAACGTAACAGCGTAGTGAAAAATTCCTAAAACACCAAGTACGCGCAGTTCTTGGTGATTCACGGAGAGAATGGCTGTTGAATGTGACTGTTCAATACTTCAACGTAAAAAAAAAAGGCAGATTACTCCTCGTCGCTGAGGTCTTTCCATACGCACGTGTATATATTGCCTAATAACAGCGACTGAGCGACGTTGACCTAATAGCACAAATTAGGACAGGTTCTTATTTCCAGCTATAGCCTATATAAAGCCTACAAGTCATTTAATGATTTCATGTGACTGATAACACAAAGGAAGCACATGTATTTTTATCTGTCACAGGAGCACAATGAAAAGATAATGTTTAACATATTGCTATTCTGCGCCACCAAACCACGACGCAGCCTATACAGAAAACATTTATCTATGGTATTTAATCACGCCAGTGCGTTACCTAAAATGCACACAGGATGTTCTTCGACCACGCACTTACCAGTCAATAGGCGCCTTCTATTTTTTTTTGCGTTATGACTTTATCCAGTATTTCATAGGCAAACATAAACGCAAGTTTGTTCCGGTTGGTACATCAATACCTCCTATACAGGCTTGTAGCCAGGATATAGATACAAGTCATCATTAACATCATTAATATGCCTACTCTCACCCCGTGACAATATTTTTCGAGGAATATAGGAACCGTGGGGGCACTTACTGAAGGTCTTACCATTCGAGAAAAAAAAAAGCATTTTCACAGTTTGCTGTAAAACACCAGCCCCTTAATCAAAATTTTGAAGGGAGGGTGGAAAAGGGACTCAAACACACATCCCATTCCCTGCCTTGGCCTTCGCCTAGATGTATATAAAAGGCTGGCGCCTGGTTGGGCCACGTATATTTGCAAGGTACTGGCTCGCTCCATTCTCCTCGTCACCATTTGCACGCAACAAAGCGTATACGATGCTCGCAGGAGGTGGTGATGCCGCTGCTCATGGTGGCCTCGTTAATGAGCATTCGGAGCGGACTGAAGCCGAGCTCGAAGCCGCCCCACTACACGCCCATCGGGCACGTGCGGCTGGTGACGCCGTCGCACCTCTCCCAGCTCACCAACGAGATCATGGCGGCGCCATCCACGCCGCAGACCAGGCGATTCATGCAAGACGTCATCGGCTACCTGAACGCCAACACGTACACCAGCGGCTTCAACTACTCCATGTACAACACCTCCAGGGACATGGAGGAGGTGCGCCATGTTATATGCTATGCTAAACTATCTATCTATCTATCTATCTATCTATCTATCTATCTATCTATCTATCTATCTATCTATCTATCTATCTATCTATCTATATATATATATATATATATATATATATATATATATATATACTGTTCTTACTTTTACTTTGCTCTCCTTTCTCACGCCTGTCTTCGTCCTTTGCGCGCCCAGGCATTCCGGCAGAACTCGACGCGGTCTTTAGTGGGCGTGGTCTTTGAAGGTGACGACCTAACAAAGAACGGCTCCTATCAGCTGCGCTTTCCTCTTCGACACCTACCGTCGCCAGAACTGAAGGACGTCGGCATAGGTAAGGATGCGGAGAATTTGTGCATTACAATGCGAAAATTGTTCAATGAAAACAGCGTGGGATGATAATACGACCATTGGATATGTAAGGATGGTCTATAGTCATAGTCTTCGTCTCGTGTTGTTCATGAAGGCGTCCACCGATACCCTACGAAACATGCATGCGCATGTAGGCAGTTTCCCACTCGTGAGGGCAGCGTATAGAGGCGCACTATATAGTGTGCCGGACAAGCGAAATTTGGCTATACTCGAACTACAGGGGAAACTCAGCGCAAGCATCTCCTCTTGTGGGTTTCGTAGTGGTTGATGTCAACGACACTGTGCTATTAGATAGGAGTTAAAACGCGTGTTTAAACGAGGTCTTTGACGCTATTGCTTAAAAAAAACACGTATGTCCGTTTCCGTTTTCTGCGACTGGCTCGGCCAGTCGTCTGAAGAATATCTACGTCTCTCCTCAAGTTAGTGGTTCGTTTTCAAAGATCCTCTGCTCAGTCTTAAGTGCCCCACGTCGGGTTAATTAAATTGTCTTTCTGTTTGAATTGACAGAGATGTGTCGGGTCAAGCATTTCGTGCATTCATCCGACCCGACACTGTGCCCTGCCGGCAGCTACTACTCGAGCGGATTCAGCGTGCTCCAAGCGGCCATCGACTACACGTTTATCAAGGTGAGCTGCGTATGAAAATACGTGCACATGACAACATGACGTCATCACTCTAAATGTGCGCCTCGTGTGCACATGGTATGCGGGATTGTTCTGTAGAACATCCTAAACACAATGTGCAAAAGTTCGTTATGTAGTGAACGGTTCACCATGCTGTGGTATGTCTGCCGATGAGAAACGTGCGCATTTCGCTCTTTAGTTGCCACATTCCGCTTTCGAAATTGCGCAGCTGCTGAATGACATGCTGAGCCATTATAAACATGCAGACCTAATATTTAATAATTTATTTGTTATTTATTTACTTATTTGTTTATTTATTTACTTGTGCAACGATACAAGATTGTCATGGTGCTTGCGGAAAGGGGTGACATTGAAAGATACGTCACCTGACTGGTCCTCTAGCACCATACATGCATTCAGCGCACCGAATACCCGTATGCGTGTGGTAAATATACAAAAAGTACTAGCACTCACAGTAGGAAAATACATGCAGACAGTGGTGGAATTCTTTAACACGAAAATTCGGCTACAACTTGGAACAAGATACAAAATATGCTGAAATAATACAGAAGCAATGGCACGAAAACAGAATTACTGACCTGTCGACAGTAGTGGTATGAGGATTAGCTCTCTCGTTTACTGCTAGTTTACCACTGAAAGTACTGAAGTGTAACACGTTCTTTAGGTTGGGTTAGTGCGCGACCTCTGCTGTACCAGTTCTTCTCACAAGTGTATACACTACGGTACTATTCGAGATCTTCAGGGTCAAACAGTCGCATTTCGCGTTCGATGGCTCATCGCGTACTTAAGAGCAACGCTCCTGGTTTTCGCCAGTTTTTATGGTGCTTCTGTACAGCTAGAAAGCGCACTGTCAGCTTACATACAGCGCACACAAAGACGGAAGGACAGAAAGAGCGACAGACGGCAAACTTAACACCAGTCTACCTCTCCTACTTTTCCCGTCTTCTAATTGTCCAGCTGTGGACCAGGAGTGACGTGCGGCTGCCCGAAGTGGTGGTGAGGCTTCTGCCCAAGCCGGGCTACGTGGACCCGGGCACCACGTGGCGCACCCTGGTGCCGCTATACCTCACATTGGCGTTCTCCCCTTTCGTCTCCGTGCTCTGCGTCAACATCGTACTCGAAAAGGAGCGCAAGATCAAGGAAGGCATGCTCATGATGGGCATGATGCCGTCCGCCTACTGGACCGCCTGGTCCGTCGTAGAAGCCATTGTGGTGACCAACGTGGCGGCCATTATGACCTTCATGGTGTACGTGCTGCACATCCTGCCAAACACTGACATCTTCATCGTATTCGTACTGTCCCTCCTCTACGGACTGACCATAGTCACATTCAGCTTCATGGCGACGCCGTTCTTCAACAAGTCCAAGGTGGCCGGCTCCGTAGTGGGCCTGATGATGCTCTTCTTCAGCTTCTTCTACATGCTCGCCGTGTTCCTCAGGGGTCGCGTGGCCGCGTGGGTGTTCTACGCGGTGGCGCTGCTCTCGCCTGCCGCCTTCACCCTGGGCATCGAGAAGGTGAGCCAGATGGACGTCCGAGGAGCCATGCACTGGGCCGACCGTCTTTGAAGACGACTTCTCCGTGGGAAGCGCCATGATCATGCTCAGCGTGGACATATTCCTGTACGGATTCCTCGCCTACTACTTCGACGCCATTGTACCAGGTGAGAGGTACAACTGCACGACTGCGAGAAAGCGTTAGCTTGTGAAGAAACCCATCAATAAGCTTGCGTATCACTGCATCCTATTCGTCATTGCAAGTCAACTGCCGTGAAAGTCTGCTTGGGAAAATTGGTCTTCAAAGGGCTGTGAATACTATCGGGGCTAGTTCTCGTGGTGTAAGCGAAAACAATTCCGCAGCTTCTATGCTTTCACTGCACTCCTGGTGATAGGCAATTCGAAATTAAGCGCGCACTTTTTACTGTGCTTCACGTGTAACAAAATGGCAACCAGACCGGAACCCGCGTTTGGCAGTGTTTTCTTCTTATTAAAGTAATCTGGACAATTGCTGAAGCGCTCACAATTTTCTAATTTTGTTATCGCTAGCCTTCACGTAAGCGACAAATGAGATGAGGTACATGTGCGCCTGAGGTTTCTGGGTAGGAAATAAGTTTGCGCTTTTGATTTCTTTAAGTCGTGTCCTGATCTGTGGCGGGCAGCGTCGAATCCAGACGGACATGCCAAGAAGTCGCGCTTTCAGCTGTCTGTCACTTCGGCAGAGCGTAAGTGGTTTCTGTTTCACAGCGAAAGCTGTTATGACATCACAACTACGGTTGTTTTGGCACCGTATTTGTTCGCTGCCGGTAATCGGTAACCGTTACCACACGAAATAAAAAAGAAACAAAAAGAAAGTAAACGACAAAATATTTTAGAGAAAATAGGTTTCGAACCCAAGTCCCCTGCGTGGGAGCCGAGTAATGTTCCATAGAGCCAATGGTGTCTTCATGTCGGGGAAGGAATCACGTTAACATGTGCAAGTTAGAAGAGTAAAGTAACAACCAGGCGTTACACAGCGCGAGTTATGCATCCAGGGGGTCGTCCATTGCTTTCAAATCTTTACAAAATACTCGGCCATAATTCATCAGCCGCAATGTATAACGTCTCATTACGGGAAGAGCTCATTGCGTCTCTCAGGCCTCTTAATGTTAGGCCATTCATCGTTCCACCAGCCACAGCATCAACAAAGTAGACGTAATGTCTTACACGTGTTACCATGCTACTACAAAGAAGGAATAATACCGGAGTTTACACGCTTTGCTACTTCGCATAAGTTATGACAGTTTATGGAGTAGTGGGTGCCATACAAGTATACTGTAGTGGTTGCCTTAAAGGTGCTTAAAGAAGTCTTTAAAAGGGCCACTTTTAAACGTTCACTGTGACTTTGCTGCGCGTTCTGCAAAGCATTGAATTTTTTTTTCAATAATTCATATCCGTCTCAGCTACTTTCGCAAGAGTTTAGTTTCGCATGCGGATCACTTTCACGTTAGTTTTGTTAAGGAAGACACTCGCTATAGTAATTGTAATTAAGCTTGACAGATTTATTAAAAGTAGGCTTTGGGATGCACAAGAAATTCACCCCAACACAAGGGCGTTGGAAAGCGGAAAGCTGCCGTCAGCCACTTAGCTAAATTTCTTGATGATTCAGTGACTGTAGTAAGCTAACTTGCTTCCGTAGAATCTTAGAAACAGCCGGATAACAACATTCCGCAATGGCATTTCGCGTGATTACACTTGTGTGCCCACATTCACAAGTATCTGATCATCAACCGTGTAAGACGTATCGGCATTTATACACGTGGCATAGAATATTACACTGTTATTGCTGGTGGCAGCAGTAGTTTTAGAATGAACTGTATTGTTCGCGTTGTGTGCGCCATGTTATTAGAATATTCTCAAATAATCTACCATGGCTCGAGCATTCTGGCGCAACCTGCGCACGGTGGTGGTTACAAGTGTAACGGGTTGGTTACAGAACAGAAAAACAAGCGCGTGCACCAATGATTGTAAGGGTCAGATCTAAGCACCACCTGGTTGGACGCGGCTGTTGCGTGCTGCATCAAGTCCGCCACAACACATCAATTACTGCTAGAATGAAACTGCACAAGGAAGGGTGTTTGTACAGTCGTGTGAAACATTGCACAACGAAATTTTTAGATAATATTGATAGTTGCGTTCCAGAGCAACAACTTGATATATCGGAGTTCGCGGGGCTGGCGATATTGATATTGGATATCGATCACTCGATAGCACGTTTTCATAACATAAGAAGGTAATATCAGGTAGCTTTAACCACTTCGTCGTAAGAAGCTATGTAGGGACACCTACCTAACACGGAAACACCCAATTACTTGGAGCAGATCCGCTATAGCCTTTTAAAGTAACGTCGAACGGCGGCACAGCTCTTATTGTAACTCTGAATACTCACGGTGCGTCTCATTTCGCCGCAACAGAGCCGCCCCCGCTTCTGCCGTGCACGCCGAGAGCTGTTGCAATGCATCTTCGACGTTTCACATTGTAGCTACTGCTAACTAGCAGTCTTGCGACTCGAATTAGTAGTGAATGCGCGCACGTGTCGTTGCCGCCGCCACAGCGTCTGTCTCCAGTAACGCATAGACTGGCCACGGGAGCATCGCTCCCAAAACTGGGGCGTTTATTCTCTATACATTCCTTGAAAGCTCTCTATTCCCATCAATGCCGACCTTGTATGTACATTATGCGAAGAGAAAAGGAAAAGTTTAATTACTGAATTTTGTGCCGGATGTTAGCAGTTGAATTTCGGTGTTACGTCACAGATTCCAATATCTTCTTCTACTGAAGGTAGAAATCTTAGTTCATAGAGAATTCAGCGTGAAACAGGGTTGGCGTGCCAAAAAGACACAGCGGAAGACAACATGACAGTCCAAATGCCGTGTGTTGTGTCCGCTCCTCATTCGCCACTGTATGTTTGCACTTTCATTTGTATGCTCCCAAATTACTTAATTATTTCATCATACTATTGTTACAAGACACCGGCAACGAGAGAGCATCATGTAGACTACAAGACGATGAATGCGATCGCGCTCGTGTTGTTTCTACTGTCCATCTTGGCTGCAGCTGCCTCGGACTCTCCGTGTATATTTTGTAAATATATTTATTTCATTCATTCTCTCACCCCCGTGACACTATGTATGTCCTGGCCGGATGCCATCAAACACTATGACATTATGGCGAATTGGTGCGGGAATATCAAAGCGGCGTAAGCCATGTTTCTTACTGGGTTTTTCTTTCGCTTAGCTAAGCGTTGTCTTGCAAATACAGTGGTGCCATTGGTGCTGTGAAACGCAATATACTAACACGACACAAACCGGTTAGCTCAAGATACCTTGAATGCCAACCTTGTAAAGTGTACTCCGCTGTGGACAGAGTCGCTTGACAGAGAAGCTACCTTTACAACTAATATTCATGATTTGAATTTTTTTTTTTTTTTACATTAGAGCGAAGCTGTTCTAGCTAGCCATAATTTCAACCCTGTCACGCTTGTCCATGTCAGCCTGTTTTCGAACATTTGTGCTTTTTTTCAGCAGTGTTCAAATTTTTCTTCACTGTGAGCTACCAACTCACCCAAGCATTCACGTTGACCTGTCACAAATTCACGCTGTGCCGTCGCCCCTTCGCGATAGCAGCAACCGCTGACGTCAAAGCTGCAAAAACACATGGCAAAGCCTCTCGGTCGCTGTAGTGACGTCACGCGAAGACGTGCATGCGCAGATGCAACCACCTCGCATGCGCATGTGGCGTGCTCGCTCAGTAGCTGCAATGGCCCGACAGTAGAATAAGTTTGTGCTGCCGAAAAGGAGGTCACGCTTCGCGAAACAAGGCTCGCTGCTAAGCGGGAGAGCTAGCAGCAACGCCAAGAAGAACCTGTATAGACGGTTTCGCCAGAGCCTGCCGGTATCTAGCAACACTGTGCGTTCACCGGAAAACCACCCCTGGAAGCTTCCGTTTCAATCGCTTGTTTTTGCGCGGTTTTAGCATTTGTTGCTGGCCGCGGCTGCTTGTGTTCCAGTGTTTTATGCAAATAAAATTATTCCGATGAAGCGCTGGCAACTCTAGCAGAGCTTTGTCAAGCCAGGATGCAGTCTACATGCCTAAATAATTTATATGCTAGTCAAAACGTTCTGTTTTCACCGATCACGATAGGAAAGGGCGCCTGCATTGTAGCGATCACGCGAGGAAAACTAGATTCCCATTATAAGAGCGTGTATAGTTTCGCTCTGCACTTCATCAAGGGCAATGCAAAGATCGGCGCAGACTGATGGCACAGAGGCAATACTCAGACGTTAGACTATAGTCGAAAAAAACGTCCGGTCAATGAAACACATCATGCAGTCACTGTCGTGTCCTACCCGTGGCACTTAAGTGTACTGACGCCTGAAATGGGCAGCAAAACGTGAAAGCTAACACTGAAAATCCATCGCAAGGGTGTTTATTTTATAGTTTGAGCGATATCAATTATGTGCTCTGTTCAAAACAACACGGGACGCAAAGTACCCGCACTTAACATTATTTGCCGCATAGCGTAAGTCGTGGTGTGCACGTTTCGTTGTCGTTGCATTCGATTTTTTTAAGGGACGCCGGCGAGTAGAATCTCATCTGTGTGAGCAAATGACTCATCGCCTGTCTTTCTTCCGCTAATGAACATCGCCGCATTCTCGCTAATGTATCTTTTGGGTGTGAACATGGACTGTAAATTTAGGTAGATTAAACTTGAATGTGTAATTCATGAATAGCTTACTCGTGAGTAAACCATAATATTTCGCGTGACCCTGCAGCCGCAGTTGACGTCATCACATCAGCACATTTTATAATTTCTTAGTCACATGAATATTTCGGATCGCCAGCAATTCCGATCGCCGCTGATCTCTTTAAAAAGTGCCTGGTGTGACAGAGACGCAGAAATAAACGTTTTATCCTGAGGTTGTATGCTGTCACAGGTCCCGTTAATTCGGGAGGCGATCGCCGAGCTAATTCCAAGGGCCGAAGTATCGGCCCCCCGAACCGCACCACGAAAGCGTGGACAATTTAGAAGTGGTCCTATTTGGCGCGCCAGCGGACGCCGGCTGTGGCCCAAAGAACAAGTCAGAGTCGAGAGTTGATAAACCAAACAAAACTATATTCTCAATAATGGCAGATCAAAACAATACACAAGTATGCACACTCCACAACAGTTGAGTACAATATGTCACCAATCAAACAACGTACTACACAGTACAATCAGCCACACTCGAAACAACGGACACAGACAACAATACACACTACAATGCAGTCGCATGCGTTGAACAACCAAGACACTTAAAGACTAAAGAGACAGAACACCTATCCAGTCCAAAGTTCTTGGAACAAAAGTCTGGATGATACTCTTCCGAGAATCACTCACTCAAAGTCCAGCGTTGTTGTCGTTCCGCTGCCCCCGAAGTTTCTCTTCCAGGAAACCTCGCGTCTTCACTTGGCCCTCGAAGTTTCTCTTTCAGAAAACCTCGACGAAGTTTCTCTTCCAGGAAACCTCGCGTCTTCAATTAGCCACTCTCCAAGCTTCAAACTTCTTCGCCGGAAACACGTCGGCTTCACTCACGCAGCTGTTGCCACGCGTCTTCGCTCGATAGCGGTAAACACACACTCTTGCCTGTAGCTCGAGCCTTCACCCCTCAGGTGGAAATCCTCTTTTTCTCCTGCTTTGTCCCTACGGACAAAACCTTCGCCGACTACGCGGTGGAATCCCTACGCGTGCTGGCGCTAACTTCCGTCTTCTCTTGATCTCTCACCTCGGCTGCTCCTTTAAATACCTTCCGCGCGAGATTCCAGGAAGTTCTCATTTCGTCGGCGCGATACGCAGCGAAGGCTGGGGAGAGGACGAGACGGTTCGAAGGCCGTCCGCGACGGATGACTCAACCCGGCATCACCCCGCCCCTTTCTATCTAGAACATTCGAGGGCTTGCTCGGGCGCCGATGTGGGGTGAGGAGGTTCGTCGGCGAACCCACCCTTCCGAGGGAGAGAGTCGCGCGCCCGGGAGTCTTTAGATGTTTGTTTTCTTTTTTTATCGTTGACCTCGCGGCGTCGCTCCAGCGTTTCGTCTCGAGAATTCGGCGGCGCGCCCTTTTTGAGCGCTCGTTTTGTGACATATGCTTAGACGAAAACACAAATATGTTCGGGGTTCAACAGGAGGTAGGTTTCCAGTTCTAGTCGAAAAGCTGAACTGAACAACTTCACAATGAATCGAGCGACTCTTCTGCATGTCGACGATGTGGGTGCGCTTTGAAGAGGCAGACAAAGGAAAGACAGGTGTGCGCTGTAAATCCTGGTCCGTGTCTTCAAATCCGCATTGTTGCCATGCAGAACCAACCGGCCCCATTAAGTGGGCTGACAAACTTCTCGTGCAGTTTATGCATCTTCTGTTTGTATAGGCGCGACCACTATCGGAGGCAACACGGAGCAGAAGGCGGTGCTTATCGGAGCGCCATGAAGGATATTTTGCGCGGCGCCCATCGACCACGTGAGCAGTGAGCTCCTTCATGCAGCCGCTAGACGTTGCTGCAAACACATCCTAAAGAATGCGCCAGAAATAACAGAGCAGCAAACTGAAACACACCATGAAAACAGCGCCGGAACCTTTGAAAAAGCATTTGCGGAAGTGCCGCACCAGAAGTCTGCTGGGGTAGGCCGTTGGGCGCGAGCCAGTTTGTTTACAAACACCGAAGCCGTCTATACGCACAACGGAAGACGTGGGGCGAAGACGAGCGCCGACGTCCTTCGTCTCGTTGAGCCATTTCTTCCCTTTGCACTGTAATCGCTATCCAAACGGAATACCAACTAGACCATACATACCCACACGTTGCTTCTGCATACGCAGCCAAGACAGTCGAGAACAAGTACTCATCAGCTTCGCTGTTTGTTTAGCAGTTTTTTTTTTGTAGTTGAGAAGTAGTGATGGAGAAAGTAAAAGGTAAAGGGAGAGCGAGGACTTCACACTTCTTCAAACTTTCAAGCACTTGAAGCTAAGAATGGTCAGGTAAAGCATCGGGAATGTTAACAGTCGCGTTTTGTTGGAATGCAGCAAAAGTAAGCTAAAAGAGATTATACTAATAAGTAAGCTAAAGGAGATTAGACGCAGAAAATGAGACACTGCGGTTGAACATATTAGTTTGACTGAGGTGACCACTTTACATGTCCAGTGTAAGTGCGAAAGAATGCGGTGCATGAAGTAAAAGCACCTTGAGCAGCTCAGCGTGGGTTTCGGTGGACAAAAGACTGGCTGGTGATAATGTTGATCCACGGAATAGCCACTCAGTTAATGTACTCCGTCTCAAGCGACCGAGTATTACATGAATACAAGATGCACGTGACCAGGGGTCTGATTTGTCCGCCGCGGTCACTGTGTCCATCGCAGGCGAGTTCGGTCAACAGCGTAGCCCATTCTTCATCTTCAGCTGGCTCGGCTTTGGCGGGAACCGCAAGCCGACCGCGCCGGATGATCTGGTCAAGCCCGACAACAGCATGCCTTCTCCCGACGTCGAGGACCGACCAGCAGAGCTACTCGGCAGGGAGGCCATTAAGTGAGTGAACTGACGTTTTTCGCTCTGCTGTGTAGGGACGAAATCATTGCGATTGCTCATATTGTCGCCGTACGCGTTCATTAACTTCCAGAAGCCAAGGACTTTTGATACAATGTCTTTCGTTTGTATCACGTGATTTAGTCGGATACTGAGTAAGCCCTGCCACAAGAACACAAAATCATCACTCGAAGGCGCAAGTCGTTAAATTGAGGAGGTCGTCTGTTTGCTAGGCCCCTGGCTGACTTGGTTCTCCGCGTCCGATATTCCGTACCCCAGCTCTCCTTGAAGCACTTCAGGTTCCTCTCGTAGTCAAACTTCAACTAGAACATAAGGCTCGCTGTTGCATTACCAGTGGTCGCCACATTTCCACCTCACCCACTCCTTTCAATCTCGCGTATGGCATCATCGGCGGGATTCAATCGTAACTGTGGTGCCTGGAAGTGACACCGGTGGTGTTCTAAAGATATGTTAGGGAGCGGTGCGCAAACACACAGTGATAAAAAAAACACAGTAGATTTCACGATCGCTGGACTGCGTTTAATTGTACTTGAGCCTTCGCGCTGCCCTTGCGTAACGAGTCCGCAAATGAACCAACCAGCACTCCTGTAACCACATCCGCGCACCGTCCCCGTCGCTACACGCAGAGTGCAGAACCTGCGCAAGGTGTTCGTCTCGTGGCGCAAGGAGCCCGTGGTGGCCGTGGACGGCGTCAGCCTGACCATGCACGAGGGACAGATCGCCGCCCTGCTGGGTCACAACGGCGCCGGCAAGAGCACTCTGCTCAACATGCTGGTGGGCACCCTGAAGCCCTCGTCCGGCTCGGCGCGCATCTACGACCTGCACACGGACAAGCCCGAGGACGTGGCCCAGATCCGATCCATGCTGGGCGTCTGCCTCCAGGAGACATCCTCTTTGACACGCTCACCGCGCGGCAGCACCTGCGCTTCTTCGCTCGCATGAAGGGAGTGCCACGCAGCAGCATTGACCTCGAGGCATGCCTTCTTCCCATATAGCTATTACTGTTCTAACGGCTCGTATAAAAAAATACTATTGCAAGGTTTCGAAATCGCGACAAACAACCGCTGCCCGCATTTGGATGAGATCGAGAAACTCTATTTGAGTTTAGCGCACAAACGCAAGCGGGCATGTTTTAAACGACAAGCAATGATAAGAGAACGTCTTTGACCACAGTGCAGCGATCTCTGTTATCATGCCTTGAAGAGTGAGCCATTCAACTCCATTGAATTTCGCACCAAAATAAAATTACAATGAAAAAAAAACGCGGAACTTCTCACGTGAACAGGGCGCGTAAACTCGAATAGGGCTCACTAGAGAATTCTAGGAACGTACGGCCCTTCTAGAAGTTGACTGAGGCAAAAGGGCCAGAGAGTATCTGTTGAAAATGTCCATCGCCTGCTGGCAAAGCTCAGGTTAAGTACTACGCTAATAAACCAATTAAATAAAAACAGTGGCAGAAAGTATCCAAGACGACGCTTTCCAAGTTCAAGTGTGTAACCAAAATTGACAGTACGGGATTAGTGAAGGGCCCTTCAAAAAAAAAAAAAAGGGGGGGGGGGGGTAGGCCGGTACGTAGCACCAATGACTCTCGATGCTTGAGATAACATACTTAAAATGTGATGATTGCGATGTCGGGATTCGGGACAGCTGTGCGCGTCATCACACTTTATCTATCAAAATGGCGACACTTCGACATCTAGAATCTCTGGCCAGCTAGTGATTTGGTGCGCACTATGATGCGCTCAAGGTGCTTCGAGCTTTTTATTTGTTAGATATGAGTAAACTATAGAAGAAGACAATTAAATCATGATTGACTTCAGTCAAAATTTATTTCAGGTCTGTGCACACTTAGATACCTCCAAAAATATACGAGCCTCGCTGATGCGTGTTATTTTCATAATCTACCAGCCGCAGTTTTCCCACCCTAACAAGAAAGCACCCACACATCATAAACAACACAGCGATCAAATTTGAAAAAAAAAATATATATATATATATATATATATATATATATATATATATATATATATATATATATATATATATATATATATATAATGTAATTTTGAACTTTAGCGTTCACAATGTAGGTGTACCGAGAAAGACTCCACAAAAAAAAATGAAGTGACAATTGCACTCAGGATTGACACAGAGAAAAATTGAATAGGGCATGTAAATAAGCTTGCCTTCGAACAGCCCTATGGTACGTTATGTGTGGTCCCGCAGGTGAAGAACATCTTGATTGAGCTGGACCTAGCGGAGAAAGCTGACGTGCAAGCCATCAAGCTGAGTGGAGGACAGAAGCGCAAGCTATCAGTCGGCATCGCCCTCGTCGGGGACCCAAAGGTACGTGTGGTTGTCTCTGCCTGTTTTTGGAGATTTTTACGCAGTCCGCATGCCACCGGATGAGCGATACAGGCGAAATGCCACCACCGCTAACCAACAGTCAAGTGCTTCTGGCCAACACTAGGTTACGTTATACATTTCTTAACCAGATTTCACTATGCAGCTATATACACTCCGTGCATTGCAACTGGCGTGCCACCGCGCGGTCATCAGTGCAGATAGTCGTTGAGAGCCCGGGCAGAACCATGCGCTCCTCCAACGCCCGCTACCACGTACTTAATCGGAATCATGAACAGCTGCGTAGTCGATTGTACCAACAGGTACACTTCGTGTCCTGCGGGAACGACGTTTTACAGTTTCTCGACTCGTCCCTGCTTCATTGGGGCAGCGAAACGAGTGCATTACGGGTGTGAGACGTAAAAGTGTTTGCTTCCGGCTCCGTCCGCCGTCTCGCGTTCTTCCTCTGCATGATCGAACTGGTCTGAGACACCACCTTAGCAGGTGCAATGATCTTGCGTAATGTTCCTGCTGCTATATGAGCAGAAAATAAACGACTCAAAGCATTTTATTTCGGCTCAAGGCTACTGGACCGTTTTATTGAAGCTTAATAAGTGTTAGCTCACCGTCTACCTTTCGCAGTTTTGGGGAAATGTAATGCGAAGCCAATTAGCTCTTTGCTGGATTGATGGGACTATCAGTTAAGGAGTAAACTCAGTTGCGTAGCACATCGCCGTAAACACAACTAGCCGCCCAGCAGCACTATGCGCATTCGGTAGGATCGAGCTAAGACGTTCCTTGGTTGTTGTTCCTAAATAAACTGGTACAACCTATACCATGGTGGACCGGCCATAAAGTGAGCGGTGTCTCGTTATATAAATGAATTTGTTTATAATCTAAAAATCTTTTGAAACATCGTTTTCTAAACTACTAATTAGCTTAATTCATGAAAGAATTGTAATGTTGTTGAAAAATAAGATTTATTTAGATAACCTTAGCATTAATTACGTTTCACGTAATAAATAGCAAACGGCGTCGCAAACGCTCTTGGGGATAAAACTCAGTGCTAGCCAAACGCTCTTGGGGCTAAAACCCAGTGCTAGCCTGGGCCAAAGAAAAGAGCTACCGGATGTGATAAATTGAATCGCACTATTCGGAGTGGTTAATGCAGAAGTATTTTGTATTGGTAAACATTCTGCATGTTAGGAAGAAATGATGCAGGACGTTAGAGTAGCAAAACAACGGCGTAAAAAAAAACGAAGCTTTCAGGAATCGTTCTAGCGATGGTGTGCACGTTAAGTGTTTGTTTCGTAAAGGAACATAGAATCAACGCAAGAGCTTGTATTGAATGAGAGAGGTACGATGGTACTGTGGCCGAAGTGACCGTACCTATCGTCGTCGCCACTTTACAAGGTGAAGCGAAAGACTAAACGGAGTTAACGGCGTCCTCTCTCGCAGAAATTCGTATAGCACGTTCTCTTTCTCGCCCGCGCCTCAAGCTCTTAGCATGAACTGCGTGAGCGGCGAGGTAAAGACTATGATCATGATGAGTGATGATGATGATGCCGCGAGAATTTCAAGCAAAGCACTTTGCGAGACTCGATGGCTAAAAATCGCCGTGGCGCGAAGCCGCTACGAACGAGCATGCCATCCATCCACTCACCATGATTTCCTACGGCGCGGGGCCGTGGAGCCTTCGATATTTCTAAATGCTCAAGTACGCGGGTAGTGGCCACGCACCAATATACAAAGTGTGGAAGAACGGCAGCTTACCGCGACAGCTATTAAGTAAGCATCTTTCATTACGCACTCCTTATGCACGCATTTCGCCATCAGTATACTGACGACGGGCAGCAAGGCGCTCGCTAACGTGGAAAACGTGGCCGCTTTAGCGCAGGTTTTTCTGTTTATTCATGGTGAGATCTCGGAAGAATTTCCGGCTACGATATCTTTAAAACCTGCTCGAAGCACTAGCACGCCTCCCACGAATGCTTGTGCCACCATAGCTATCAAGACAATGAGGCGCTGCTCTCTGCCAAGACACTTAACGTTGAGCGTCCACCGCACCAGAAGTGGCGCTGCGCACGGCTTTCAATGCGCCTCCTATAGAACCCAAACGAATAAACACTGTAGGATTCTTAATAACGTTCTGCGAAGATCTCGTTCTTGAGGAATATACGTCATGGTGATGGCGCCGAAGGAGCTTCGCCGGCAGTGTCGTGGAAGTGATACCGCGATAGTAAATCGCTCAGCGAACACCGACGGTTGTTCCTTCGCAGATCGTGTTCTTGGACGAGCCGAGCAGTGGCATGGACCCGTACTCTAGGCGCCACCTGTGGAGTGAGCTCCAAAAGCGCAAGGAGGGCAAGGTCATCGTGCTCACCACCCACTTTATGGACGAGGCTGACATCCTCGCAGGCACGTGGTCTCGGCGTTCTTATTATACAAATACACCTCTCTATGGTTGAAAACTAAAGTCTCTTAGGTGTTTCTCTTAACGCAGAGCACTGCGTGGTCTTTCTAGAGTGATGATGTGCAGAAATCACAAATGTTCAATGGGTGGCACTCACATCAACTTGGTCGAATAACGCGCCAAACTCGTATGCACTTGTATGCAGTCAATTTTGGAGCAAATGATTATTTCGAGCATTTGTTACTCTCGCAGACTGGAAGGCAATTTTGTGCAAGGGCAAGCTGCGATGTGCCGGAACGTCCCTTTTCCTCAAGAACCGGTTCGGAATAGGCTATCACCTCACGTGAGTGAACTTGACTACTGTGAAGGTGCTTCATGCGGAGTTTTACTGCAGTACCAATGCCTAAGCCCCCAAAACGTGTGCTGAAGTCATTTGCCCCTTAAAGGCGTGCTCAGCATGGCGCGCAAGCTTATGACGAGCTCCGTGACGGTTGCCCATGCCTTTGCTTCCTTAATGACATGCCGATCCTTTCGCTAAACACATAGGATGGCACAACAATGTTCAGAGCGGAGGTGATTACCAGTGGCTGGCAGTGTATTCGATTCGTATACGTGTAAGGTATTACTATATTTGATACAGCGAGTCCAGCACGCTTGAAGGCAGAACAGTAGAAAAATGGCCGAGGGTCCACATAAGCAAATAAAGTCTAACGCTAGAATAGTTCTCAAAAGCAAACTGTTTGCTGATCATGGTGCTGGACATATGACCGAACTAAAAGCTTACGAACAGTAAGGTATGTAAGTTCAGCCCGGCCCTTGAAGTTGCGCAGCGAATTTTCGGGCACCGTTCGGAAAAAAATGCTGGCGAAGATGTAAGGACATGCTCCTAAAGAATGCATTAGGGCATCAGCGAGAAAATACGGCTCGCTCTGTGGATTTCGTGCCGACCGGTCGTGCCTCGCAATCTCCGATGACAGCGCAGCTGTGGCAGACTGGCTCACTCTATACGCCATCTCCTGACGCCGACTAGAGCTCTCGCTGAGTGGTGCCCCGCCCTCGGACTCCTGCGACCATGTCCATGTTTCCTATCTTCTCCTTACTTCCGGATGTCGCGGCCCTGTCGCCACGTTCTCTCCTTCCCCCTACATATCTTTATACCTTAAATCCTGTCCTTTTAATCCCTCCTTACCGCCATCCCTTGTGAGCTACTGTTGAGGTATCGCACTGTGATGCAGACAGTTACGGGGCTCACTTTCATCTTCTTTTCTCTCTTTAAGAATCACATGAGCGAGAAAATACAGTTACAAGAACGACGACTTGCCCTGTCGGCCACATATTTATTAGATGAACTGAACATTGACGAAGTTCGTACAATCTGAATTGTGTGGCCTATTTATACAGGATGGTGCTTTTGTAGTTTGCCGTGCTTGTACAGTCAATGACGGTGACGACGACATTACCTCGCGACAGAGTATTCACGATTTATGGAATTTTGTCACTGCTCGCGCAAATCCCGATGTTTACGTTGCCGAACGGGAGTCTGTCGTTGCTTGCTCGGCGCAGCATGGTGGTCGATCAGGGCGCGGACAAGAGCCAGATCAGCCAGCTGGTGCAGCGGTACGTTCCGAGCATGACGGTGTACCGGTCGACGGGCACCGAGCTGGCCTTCATCCTGCCCATGGACTCGACGTACAACTTCGCCAACCTGTTCGCCGCCGTCGAGGAGGCCATCTCCGAGGGCACCCTTGGCGTGCGCAGCTACGGCATCTCCATGACCACGCTCGAGGAGGTCTTCCTCAAGATGGGCGAGGTCGAGAAGCCCGACGAGGTGCACCTGCGAGACATTCAGGTGCGCAGCCTACTTCTGCTCTAAAGTTTTCACTCTTGTATACCCGCAAATGCAGTGTGACTCTTCTCATACACTCGAAAGTAGTGTATGCTCACGTAGACGTGTCAATTGTAGAAAAGGATCAGGTTCTTTTGAGCTAGGTCACTGGAGTAGCAAAACTGAAGTCACTGCCTCAGCAGTGCATTGTTTAGGGCTTACACGTATTTATGGTGTTCCAGGGAGCAATATATGTATAGTGAAAGGTCTTGTTTGAAAAACGCATGTGGCATACGTGGCGTAAAGCTGCAATACAATCCCAAACTAAATTGCTGACAAGAAGGTTCCACAGTCGCGAAGCTTTTCTAGTACGGCTATTTAACCCGTGACAAACGCACCCGTACCGTTCTATCGAATCGGGAAACGAGTAAGAAAGTGGTCCGACGGTAATCAGCACCACTTTTCTTTTGATGAAAGCTCTAGATTTTCGAATACAAGGCTCTCACATTAAATACGACCTCGCGGTTGGGGACATTGCTGAATTCATATTTGATTTTTCAAATAGTCGCTCACCCTTTTAAATATACAAATAAAACTGTACCGCGGTAAACCATTAGTCCACACAAAAAAGAGGAGAAAGAAAACGAAACAGGCTCAAACACCATGCTTTAGCGTCTAAGCTTAGAAAAGTTTACGGCTATGTCGAACAAACATTGCCGCAACACTTGATATATCGAGCATCGGTTGCGTGAGATGCTCCAAGTGTTTGGCCTTCCCTCGCGGAAGGCGAGGCATGTATTAGGGAGAGCTAACGCCGTTGGGCGATTAAGAAGGTGCCGCACTGAGTGAGCTGGCCATCTCCGACTTTTTCCTATGATTCTTTGTTGGCACGCTCGTGGACCCGTAGAGTGAGAACGTCGTTCATTCTCCACTCCCCTTGTAAAGACAAAAAAGGAAATCTTGCCTCGTATTCGTAAATCACTTTCTTGCCGTCCCATAATCGCCATGATTGCCACACACACACACACACCACACCACACACACACACACACACACACACACACACACACACACACACACACACACACACACACCACACACACACAACACACACACACACACACACACACACACACACCACACACACACCACACACCACACACACACACACACACACACACACCCACACACACACACACACACACACACACACACACACACACACACACACACACACACACACACACACACACACACCCACACACACACACACACACACACACACACACACACACACACACACACACACACACACACAACACACACACACACACACACACACACACACACACACACACACACACACACACCACACACACACACACACACACACACACACACACACACACACACACACACACACACACACACACACACACACACACACACACACACACACACACCACACACACCCACACCACACACACACACACACACACACACACACACCACACACACAACCCACACACAGTGTACCGGTCGACGGGCACCGAGCTGGCCTTCATCCTGCCCATGGACTCGACAGTACAACTTCGCCAACCTGTTCGCCGCCGTCGAGGAGGCCATCTCCGAGGGCACCCTCGGCTGTGCGCAGCTACGGCATCTCCATGACCACGCTCGAGGAGGTCTTCCTCAAGATGGGCGAGGGTCGAGAAGCCCGACGAGGTGCACCTGCGAGACATTCAGGTGAGCAGCCTACTTCTGCTCTAACATTTTCACTCGTGCACCCGCAAATGGGTGTAGTGTGAATCTTCTCATATACTTGAAAGTAGTGTAGGCTCACGTCGAGGTATCAGTTGCAGAGAAGGATCAGTTTCTTTCTGGGCTATGCTACTGTAGTAGCAAAACTGACGTCACAGCCTTGGCAGTGCAGTGCTTAGGGGTTAACGCGTATTTATGGTGTTCCAGGGGGTAATATAGCGAAAGGTCTCGTTTGAAAGACGCATGTGGTATATGTGGCCTAAAGCTGCAATACAATCCCAAACTAAATTGCTGACAAGAAGGTTCCACAGTCGCGAAGCTCTTCTAATACGGCTATTTAACCCGTGACAAACGCACCCGTACCGTTCCATCGAATCGGGAAACGAGTAGGAAAGTGGTCCAACGGTAATCAGCACCACTTTTTTTTGATATCGGATGAAAACTCTAGATTTTCTAATACAAGACTCTCACATTAAATACGACCTCGCGGTTGGGGACATTGCTGAATTCGTAATTGATTTTCAAATAATCGCTCACCCTTGCAAATATACAAAGAAGACTGTACCGCGGCAAACCATTAGTCCACACAAAAAAAGAAGAGAAAGAAAACGAAACAGACTCAAACACCGTGCTTTAGCGTCTAAGCTTAGAAAAGTTGACGGCTACGTCGAACAAACATTGCCGCAACACTTGATATATCGAACATCGGTTACGTGAGATGCTCCACGTGGTTGGCCTTCCCTCGCGGAAGGCGAGGTATGCATTAGGGAGAGTTAACGGGGCGATTAAGAAGGTGTCGCACTGAGTGAGCTGGCCATCTCCTGCTTTTTCCTATGATTCTTTGTTGGCACGCTCGTCGGCCCGTAGAGTGAGAACGAGAACGTCGTTCGTTTTTCCACTCCCCTTGTAAAGACAAAAAGAAAATTTGGCCTCGTATTCGTAAATCACTTGTGTGTGTGTGTGTGTGTGTGTGTGTGTGTGTGTGTGTGTGTGTGTGTGTGTGTGTGTGTGTGTGTGTGTGTGTGTGTGTGTGTGTGTGTGTGTGTGTGTGTGTGTGTGTGTGTGTGTGTGTGTGTGTGTGTGTGTGTGTGTGTGTGTGTGTGTGTGTGTGTGTGTGTGTGTGTGTGTGTGTGTGTGTGTGTGTGTGTGTGTGTGTGGGGCACACACACACACACACAACGCTTTGTCAATGAGAAAAGTAAAAAAAATGTGGCAGGCAACGACGCCACTTGTAACTTCCCGAGCCAAACGTCATGACGTCATAGATATTTAAGCACGTAAAAATGAAGTGCATTGACCTTCTAAGATGCCCTAGACTTAACAAACCAGCTTTTCGGAAATGTTGTGCATATATTGCCAAAATATGACAGGTACTTATTCAAACCTGTGACGTCACGAGCGAAAATTCTGGCAGGAAATTCTGAAGTGTTGCTCCAATCTTCAATGTTTTCTTTATTACTAAACTGTGACGAAACCTAACAAAATTATTGTACTCGAACTACACTTCATCAATCTAAACAAATTCATTGCCACACTTTAATGACCCTTTAACGTAATCGCTGCCGTGAAACAGAAGAACCTGGGAGTTCTCCGCGTAGTCGGTGATAATCACGTGGATAAAATATGTCTGACGTCACCGCTGCGTACAGAATACAATAAAGAACGCGGAGTATCACATTCAAAAACAAAGCCAACGTTAGGGCCGAGAAGACAAAGTCTCCAGCGCCTGAGCATACACACAGCTGCGCATGCGTATGACGATGTTGAGGCGTTGTTTACATCAATACCGTGGTCTTCGCACCACCGCATATAAATCAGCACCCTCAACTACATACAAACCATGGATAAACAAGAAAATCTTCCCGTACTGCCATGAAGCCACCTTCCTCGCGCGATGACGTTCGTGAGGTTGATTTGTGGGGTTTAACGTCCCACATGACGTTAGGTTGTCTCACGGCCCGAAATTCGCAACCGAAATACGGTACGTGTATTCTTCAAACATTTTATACTGAATTATACAATATACCGAACTGATTCTCGTTCTTGAATTTTTTATTTATACGGGTTCAACTGCAGTAACAATACAGTAACTCTAACATTGAAATTCATTTTACACTACAACGTGTATGACAATTTTTTGTTCAGTACAAATTTATTTTTTGTACTGCAAAAGTGATCACACAAACACCAAAGCACTAAATTACTCAAGAATTGGTGTCACGGCACGTGACAAGGCGAAAGGTATTTGAAATAAATGCGGATTTGTCAATATAACATATTTTAGCTCAATAATACGTGAGCAGAGGACCGAAATGATTGCACAAAAAGACCGCACCGCACAAAGAAACCGCACCGCGCGTAAGGATGCTTTCCAGAAGCTCGCCAGACCGGGTCGTCTCCAGGTGTCACGATCTTGATGCGAGCGCAGTGCACATCTGACTCGTTCACGACAGGCAGACATTGCGGCATCAACAGTACGCCACAGCCCGCCGCCCACGAGGAAAGCGATGGCTATGGGAAGAAGGCCTGAGGGCGCAGAACCTTCCGGTTCCGTTTCGTCTACACCTCAGGTGAGTGGCTGCTTCTTATCTGTGCTTTTCTCTAATCTATGCTCTTTTATTTCCGTGTTTCATGATACTAGCCTATCTGAATTGTAGATAGTATTTGTGTAAGTTACGCCAGAGTATCTGAGGGTATTGGATATTTCTTGAGGTCATTTTTTAGGCTTGAGCGCGCAAACGCGAACAGCTCAGTTGATTCTAGAACAAACGCGGCCACTAGTGATGATGCTCTGATGTTCTACGCCACATGTATAAACTGTGGACGTGCCTTGCCGCGGATCGGTTGATCGACGCTCTGTTCGCCGCTATCAGTGTCAGCGTGTATTCGCAGTAATCTCAGTTACCGTTTACCGGCTACAAGTTCAACCAAATAAACATTTCATCTTGGATATGCAGTCTGCTAACTTCATCCACGTCACGACCACGTGACAATGTCTTAATCATGCAACTGAGCGGGAACAATAAACAAAAGCATCAACTCGAGAACGAAATTCGGTTGGCCAATAGTGATGCATACAGATTGTAGAAAAGACGCCTTTTATGGCGATAGCAATTATATGGACCCTCTCTTCTAGATTTTGCCACCGGCGTGGGCGTGGCCGACACTCACCGTCTATGCAGACGTATCCATATGTAAATGAAAACGCAAAAAAGAAAGAAAAAATTCTGAAAAACACTTTGACGCGCGGAATCGAACGTAGAACCTCCGAGTCGTGAATGCGAAGCGTTAACTACTGAGCCACCGCAGAGTACGTCCTTCGACTATTCAAACGGCAAGCTATTTATATCTACCACTTACCACTGGTGATGGGCATCTCAGAGGGAGGGAGAGAGAGGGGGGGAAAGATCTCCCAGCGTACTTTTCCCTTCAGAGTAGAGAAGGTAGATGCTCGCTCACGCGCCCTTACCTCCCGGAGGGGACGATCGCACGTCTTGACAACGCCTCCCCAAAAAGTTATGCCAGAGCCCCTTAATACTGTTCTGGTCACGAAACTTCTCCGTCGCTCTATGGGAGAGCTTGATATGCTGCCAAGAGCGACCGCTACGCGGCGCAAGCTGGGATAAGGGGCCACCGCTCCGTTGCGCCCGGCCATTGCCCGGTGGAACGCATTGGCAGCGGCGGCAGCCCGAAGGCGTTGTGTAAAGGCAGCTCGCGGTATTCCTTCGAACAAATTTTCTCCATCAGCGTCACGAGAACTTCAAGGGCCAGTTCTCCGCGTTCAAGGTCGACGGCATGAAAATTCGAAGGAGTAATGCCTAAGACGTGCTGTGTGATGGGCTGCAGCACCGGATACAGAAGAAACAAGGAAAAGGCGTTGCTCTTCTGTTTCCCCAGTAGCACCGAACTTCGGGAGAAATGTAGATTACATTTCTTCACGCGCGAAAAAAAAAAAAAAAAAGCCTCGCGGGCAACCGTGCGTGGTTCATGCCAAGCAAGTGGGGGGCGGAAGCCGTAGTGTTGAGCATAATGGTTGTGTATGTTCTCGGGCTGCAGCGTGCGCTGCTTCGTTTCCCGCCATCCCTTGATGCCCCAGGGTCCAGATGACGTAGGACAGAAAAAAGAAATCTTGACTGGTTCCCACCCCCCTCCCCTTACAAGGCACTGAGAGTGTAACATTACTGAATACAGTCATAATAGTTTCTAGTGCTTCTCTTCTCCAAGGTGTTGTTCTCTGTGTATTTTGTGTAAACAAAACATGCTTTCAAACTTGCTCCTCAATAAATGCACCTGATTGGAAGCTTCCATTCATAGGTACACACGTAAATACTAAACAGCGTATCATTAGTACCAAATTTCCGATTTATGGCTTGCTTTAAATCGTAACCCTCCCCCCCTCCCCCAAGCATAAAAAAGTATGGTATGGTACCTAGGTAGTGTGGCAAAGGTCGCCGAGCAGCTAGCACTGGCATCGAAAGGAACTTCCAGATTAGGCTGCTGTACTTCCCTTCCCGAAGAAATCGTGGGTTGTCGGCCGGTAATTAACGCTGCTCTAAGCAGTAAACATAAGGAAACGTCAAGAGACGGGTGTCTCGACTAAATTGCGTGTAAAAAAGGGATCACTCAGATGTTAGGCACGTAAAACTCGTGCTATTTCAAGAGGCACCCTTAATACCGAAGCGAGCGATCGCAAAAGCGCTGAGCTGCTATAACCAAGACATCGAAAGTACCCGCGTCAAGAAAGCGATCGGCGCTCACAAACGTGTGCCCAGAACAACTGCGCATTTGGGTGCAGACTCAATTGAAAGGTCTAGAATGTAACATCTAGCTCGTCCATTCCTTTCATTCGATTACTTGGATAGCAGCGCGCGAGAGACGAGCCGTATATAAATCAATGCGATTGCCCCTGTCTTACCTAGTCGTGTTTTATTCCGTTCACCTTCCTCCCCGTATTTGCGGAACTGCCAGAATAGAAAGCTTTACTACCGCATAAACAGAATCGCCCTTTGGCCAGGCGCGAGCACGTCGTCGAGCAGATCCAGCAGTAGCTGCTCGCATCGGGAGCAATGAGCATCGTCTTTAAACACTGGCGAGCAACGACGTACCACTTCGAGGCATCGTAAGTGCGCATATAATTGGGCTATTAGTTAATTCTTGACACAATGCGTTATCGCGCGATGTTAAAACACTTTAAACGCGCTGCTATTTATAAGGTTGGTCCGCCGCTCTCAGGAAAACTACGCGTGCGTTCTTAAGTAAACAGCTTTCATTCGTCGTCGACACTGAATCACGTTTATAATGATCTAGTGGCATTGCTGCGTTCAGTGACGTTTAATAAAAGGTAACAGGAAGAACAGCACGCACATAATAACGTGGAAACGTCTGCAATAGTGCGCATTTAATCCCAGCACTGGCGGGGGCTTGTGGCCCCCTTACGACTGGTGGCGCCGATAGCGGGAGATTTCGTCCCTATATCAACCTTTGGGCGGAGTTTCGTGACCAGAAAGCATTAAAGGACTCTGGTTATGCCTAGAACGTGAGCCGCGAACGCGCTGCCCTACCCTCTGATTTTACCCTCTGTCACACCTGTCCCGTTTATTAGGGAGGCGATCGTCGGGCTAATTCGAAGAGCCGAAGTATCGGCCCCCCGAACCGCACCACGAAAGCGTGGACAATTTAGAAGTGGTCCTTATTGGTGCGCCAGCGGACGCCGGCTGTGGTCCAAAGAACAAGACAGAGCCGAGAGTTGATAAACAAACAAAATTATATTCTCATTAACGGCAGATCAAAAACAATACACACGTATGCACACTCTACAATAGTTACATACAATACGTCACCAAACAGACAATGTACTACGCAGTACAATCAACCACACTTAAAACAACGGACACAGACAACAATACGCACTACAATGCAGTCGCATGCACTGAACAACCAAGACACTTAAAGACTAAAGAGATATAAAACCTATTCAGTCCAAAGTCCTTGGAACAAAAGTCTGAATGATACTCCTCCGAGAATCACTCACTCAAAGTCCAGCGTTGTTGTCGTTCCGCAGCTCTCGAAGCTCTCTCCCAGGAAACCTCCCGTCTTCAATTGGCCACTCTTCACACTTCAACTTCTTCGCCGGAAATCCGTCGGCTTCCCACACGCAGCTGTTGCCCGCGTCTTCGCTCGATAGCGGTAAACCCACGCTCTTGCCTGTAGCTCGAGCCGTCCCTACGGACCACAAACTTCGCCGACTACACGGCGTACTCTCTACGCACTCTGGCGCTCACTTCCGTCTCCTCCTGTTCTGTCACTACGGGCAGAACCTTCGCCGACTACACGGCGGAATTCCTACGCGCTCCGGCGCTAACGTTCCGTCTTCTCCTGATTTCTCGTCTCGGCCGCTCGGTTAAATGCCTTGCGCGCGACTTTCCAGATCTTTCTCGTCATTTCGTCGGCGCGATACGCAGCGAAGGCTGGGGAGAGGCGAGACGTTTTGTCTGCCCTCCGCGTCGGATGACTCAGCTCGGTCTGACCCCGCCCCGTTCGTTCTGGAAAAATCGCGGGCTTGCTCGGCCGCCGCTGTGGGGTGAGGAGGATCGTCTGCGAAGCCGTGCTTCTGCGGGGAGAGCGCGCGCCCGGGAGTCCTGGATGTTTGCTTTCTTTTTTTTCTTTTTACCTCGCGGCGTTTCGGCCGCCCGTTGTCGCAAGGATTTGGCGGCGCGCTCTTGTTTAGCGCTCGTTCTGTGACACTGCCCCCCACTTTAAGAATATTATCTCATAATATTCAAACCACACAAACGAGCGCGAACAGTCACCACACACTCTCACAGACTGTAACACAATCCGTCGCTTATGATACGTCACATTCACAATAGATCACTTAATACAATTGTACCTAGTAATTCAATTACACAACACGTGAAAACACAACTACAAGCACATGAGTACAACACTCCACCACACATTACCAATAATACAAATGTACAAAGTCTCTCACTACAACAATGGTACAATACTATACATCACATCACAGCACAACACTTCGATACTTGTGACACAGGATACCACAACATTAACACAACATATGACACTCAACACTGCCAACCACATTCTGCTTTGACCTCAGCACATATCCTGCGTACTTCGAGCAGCGCTTGCGCCCCTTTTTGCGGTGCTCGCTCGATCTCTTCTTGTGCTTCCACGTTCTTTTTCGGCGAGCCCTTTCCAACGACGATATCTGAGGCGTCGTCTCAGCCATCGTTGTCTCTTCCGACACCGTTAGTGCGTCATTACATTTGACGGGTCCTGTCTGTTTATTTACCCGCTTGATAATGCCTCTACATTTTGCCCGGCTGGCCAACCCCGTCTCCTTTACACTGTCAGTCGGTCGAGGTCGTGCCGACGTACATCCAGTTGCTCGGCCTGTGAACTTATTCGACACGATCGTCTTCTCCTTCGCTGTCTCTTGCGCCGCGGCTTCGCCTCGGGCTCTAGTGAGATCCGTCACGGGATGCTCCTCCACTGTATCTCGCGGCCGCTGTGTCGGCGAGGGCTCTAACTTCGGGTCTTCTCCCAA